CAGGCTAAAGGTTTTTTTTTTTTTTTTTTAAGGAAAAATGTTTGTGTCCAAAGTCAAATCAGCCATATCAATTCTAAATCCCCTCAATTCCAAGAATCATATGTGACCCTGCTACTGGCAAGCATCCTCCATCCCTGCCTGGTGCTTCAGATGATCCAAATCCTTTGGTGGGCATGTTACATGCAGGCCCAAGCCCAGAGGCTTGGGGCGCAGATGCCCCAGAGTTTTGCTTGCTCTCAGCCATATGGCCACAAGAGCAAGCTAGGGAGGAGTTTCCCACTTCCATAGTCATCATATAGCTGAGATATTCCCACTAGAACTGAAAGTGGGAGGCTAACTATGCATTACCTCTGTCAAGGTACTACCCCCTGCCAAGAAAGCGGTTTCCCCCTACCAGTAGGAAAACCACCTTGATGGTCATGGTATTTCCCCTGCCAGGCCAGGATGATGATTTGCAGGGTCATCTCTGCTCAGCCTCAAAGGGCCCAGAGCTAAGGCAGCTCCTGGGGCCCAGGTTATCCTAGCCACAATGGGTCTGCTGGGGAGGGTGAGGAACGGCCCCGTCTGCCCCAGGGCTGAGCTCTGCCCTGACGCTGTGATTCTGTCTCTGCAGTGAAGGTGACTCTGAATCCAGACACGGCAAACCCCTGGCTCCTCCTTTCTGCTGATCGGAAAAGTGTAAGATTGGCAGACGCACAGCAGGACCTGCCCAACAATCCTCAGAGATTTGACTTGTTTGAGTGTGTGCTGGGCTGTGAGGGATTCACCTTGGGGAGACACTTCTGGGAGGTGGAGGTGGGGCAGGGGGAAGCCTGGGCTGTGGGCGTAGCCAGAGAGTCTGTGAGGAGGAAGGGACTGATCAACTTTAATCCTGAGGGAGGGATCTGGGCCGTGCAGCTCTGGCTGGGTCAGTTCCGGGCTCTCACTGCCCCTGATCGCACCCCACTTCCCCTGGGCCAGGTGCCCAGCAGGGTGCGGGTGTGTCTGGACTGTGCAGGGGGGTGGGTGTCATTTCTTGATGCTGGTACTAAGGCCCCAATCTTCACCTTCCCGCCAGCCTCATTTGCTGAGGAGAGAATTCATCCCTGGCTCTGGGTAGGGCCAGGAGTATTTCTGGGGACTTCTGAACTCAAACTATGCCACTGAGATGGGTGTGGAACGTGCCAAAGGAAATGGATTTCTCTGGCCTCAATTTTACCGGTCCCTATAACCCTCTCCTCAAGACTTCCCTCTACTCAGCCGTCCCTCCCACCCTGCATCCCAGGCGGTCTCAGAATAAGCCCATGATGTGTTAGTACAGGCAAATGAAAGCCACTGCGGTGGGTGTCTCAAGGCCCAATGGCTCTAGAGGACACCAGCAGGGCTGCCAGGGTTGTCAACTTCCCATAGATGTATGGACGCTATAAAGAAAACAACAACCCTGTTGCACCATGTTGTGGGTGGCCACGCAGGGTTCAAAGGGCCAACCAGGGTTGGGAGGAGCGAGTGGAACCCAGGTATGGACTGGGCCAGGAGGCCAGGAGCAGGGAGTCAGAGGGCCAGGCATGTAGAGTAGGTAGGAGAACCAGCAGAGAACAGGGACCAGGGATAAGTTACATTAAGAAGGCAAAGGATCAGGCAGAGCACAGAGGCAGAAGGTGAGCCAGGTCATGTGTCTGGGTCAGGTAGCCAAGAGATCAAGCGGAGAGCCGGCAGATGCACAGGCTGTAAGGACCAGCAGGGCAATCTGGGTAGGGGTTGAGTCCTATTGCCCAGATACTCCTGGCTCTGGACCAGGGGTTTATGTGGGAGGGAATGAAGTGTCAACTGATCCTGGCTGGCCACTCTGGTGGCATGGAGTGTGCAGGTGGCTAGACCTAGGTGCAGGTCTCTGGACAGCTTTGCTTAGCCTAGAGGGTCAGTTGGAGAGGTGGCAGACCAGAAAGAGTGCCTGATCTGGGCAAGTGGAGGCTCTGGGTTTGAGGCTATGGCTGAATACAACCCTAAAAATGCCTGTCTGTAAAAGTCTGGAAAGATGTTATGCCCTCTATAAAAATCAAAGGAGCCACTGCCGCTCTGGAGGGCTCCATCAGGGCTGGCTGTGCAGTGTCCCCTGTGGGAAGCCCCAGCTTTGGAGCCAGGAGGTATGCATGCAAAGTGCCTTTTAGCTTCCTTGCCAGGGAGGTGCCCATGTTTGTGGGAGCTGGATCTTTCCTGTGGGAAGCTGCTGGCCTGTTTGTGTTTGGGTTGGGTTTAATGTGCAGACAAAGGCCCCTGCCCTGGAGGTTTCCCAGATCTAGAAGACTCCCAGGTCCCATATAGGGGTAGAGATCTCCCTCCCTGAGGCTTCTCTGACAATGCCAGCCCTTTTTCACCATCTTGCACTGGGCCCCTCATCTCTGTATAGTCATAGAAATCTAAATAAACATCTGAAACTTTCATTTTTCCAATGGTTTTGGCTCCTTGGTCTTCACTCACTCTTTTATTCTCCTTTCATCTTACCGGCTCTGGGTTCTGTTCCATTCTTGTGGCTCGTGTGTCAGAATGTCCCCAGTGGGGTGGGCACCTTGTTTCTTTGGACCACCCTTCCCACCTTGGCCTTTCTGACCACTAAGAAATTGGAGTTTAAAACATTAACCTGGTTTATATTTACATTGGAGCCCTACTGCCCCATCCTGACAGGAGAATTGAGTATGAGGTGCCCATCTTCAAGAAAGACATATCACCTGGACAAGGGAGAGGAGATTGACATCATGTATCTGGACTTTGAAAAAGCCTTTGATCTGGTGTCCCTTGATCTCCTCATGGAAAAATTGGCCAACTGCAGCCTCAGCTATATCACAGTTCAATGGCTGGGGAATTGGCTCTGAGGTCGAACCCAGAGAGTGGTAGTCGACGGATGTGAATCATCATGGCACTCCGTGACCAGTGGTGTCCCCCAAGGCTCCATTCTTGGACCTGTTCTCTTTAATGTCTTTATTAATGATGTGGACACTGGTGTCAGAAGTCCACTGGCTAAGTTCGCCAACGACACTAAACTTTGGGATAAAGTGTCCACGCCCAAGGATAGGCTGGTGATCTAGGCTGACCTGGATAGGTTTAGAAACTGGGCAGATATAAACGTGATGAACTTCAATATGGAAAAATGCAAGGTACTCCACCATGGGAGGAAAAACACCCACAGCACACTTACAGGCTCAGCAGTGTTACGCTTGCTAGCACCACAGCCAAAAGAGACTTCAGGGTCATAATAGATCACAAGATGAACATGAGCCACCAGTGCGATGTTGCAGCTGGTAAAGCAAACAAAACTCTGGCTTGCATCTATAGATGCTTCTCAAGTAAACCTCAGGATGTCATCCTCAACCTTGGTGAGGCTGCATCTGGAGTACTGCATCCAATTATCAAGGCTCACATTTGCGAGAGCCCGGCAGGACAAATTATGCTGAGGGGAAACCAGCATGGGTTCGTAGCAGGTAGATCATGCCTGACTAATCTAGTCTCTTTTTATGACCAGGTTACAAAACGCCTGGACGCAGGAGTAGGGGTT